CCCCGCCCCACCCGCATCCCGAGGGAGATTCAAACGCCGGGCGGAACGCACGCAGCACCTTGCAGAGCCACGACAAACTACTGGCTGCTCAGATTGCGTTCGAGCGATACGGAGGGATGGTGGTTGCTATAAAGGGACGAAGCAGTCTATACACTCGGGAAACAGTTTCTCTGACTCGACTGACTTCCACTGACAAAATTTATTCTCCCGTGCCAAAAGGAAATTTCTCTGACTAATCAAAATCGACTAAACAACATCCACTTAAAATTTCCTCTATAATGAAACGAGATCTTTCGCAATTTTTTTTGAATGAAAAGAAACCATCTTCCGAGTGTAAATGTAAAGCCTCCCTCGCATCATCATCAGCGGGCTCTGGGCTCAACTTTGATTGTTCTCGCCGGTGTGGTCGTGGAGCCCGACAGCTCTATGGCATGGCTTGCGGGGCGCTCTGCTGGGCGCAACACGCATCCGCCGCGTATAATTATCCAGATCCAATCTGTCGCGAGTGATCCGGCAGTTCAGCCAAATCCAGTGCCGCCGTCGTCCGCCGCTGGAAATGTATTCCGACACAACTTCATAGCATCAAAGCGGGCAAATGCGAGCAATAACCCCCCGTACTGCCTGATTCCTTCTCTCGAGTCTGCCGAGAGTGCAGGAGGACGGAGGAGGAGGGTTACACGACGACGGGGCGGGTCCTCCTTCGCCTGCTCGATCGACAAGAAGAGAGGTCCCCGTCGTTGATGAGGTCACGACCCGTCAAGGCGCCGCCTGCCTGACTGCTCGGATGATCGGCGCGGAGTAGAAAGCGCGCACGGGAAGAGTGCAGCAGCAGCAGCAGCGTAATGGTGAGGTGGGCGACGGGGAGGAGGAGGGAGGGGGAAGTATCGACCTGTGTGATTGACGGGCCGGGCCGAGCCGAGGGGAGCCTGACCGCACGGGAGTACACATCAGGCGGGATGGGAACCGACCGCGCCCGAGAAATCGGCGCACGCGAAAAGAACGGCTCGTCATCGTCACTACTTCGGACCGACCGGAGCCGGGCCGGGCCGGGCCGACGTGGAGAGAGAACCTCCACGGGGAGCGTGATACGCCAGTATTGGTGGCGGCGAGATCGGAAACACGCAGCACAGCCGGAGTAGTATTGGGCGACTGATGTGTAAGCCGAGTCGAATGATTTTCGACGCGAAGTGGGAGGGGAGGACGTCACCAGCAAGGTGCGCGTGGCTGCGAGCGCCTGGGAGGTAGGCCGCCCCGTTACACACGAGCGCGCGACGGGCGGGTATCCACGGCAGAGCGAGGCGTCCGCGTCAGGAGGGTGGCGGGGCGGAGCCGGGCGGAGCGGGGCTTGGCGGGGCATGGCGGGGCGGGGGGAGCCGCGAGAGACAAGGAAGAAGGTACTTGACGTGGAGAGTGATGCACTCCCCATCCTCGCGCCCCGTCTGCCTGCCAGCACAAGACGAATGCCAAATGGAATGGTTGTGACATTTCCTGGAGCGGCGGCAAGTGCAGTGCAGCAGCCCGCGCGGGGCCGGGGGGTGCAGCGGCAGCAGCAGCAGCAGCGGGATCGTATCGCATCGGCAGCCCTCTCTGACTGACGGCCCGGCACGACACGGGAGCCGCGCCGCCGCGGTGCATCGCGCGCCGGTCAACGGCCTCCGAGGGCATCGCAATGTATCGGGGGGTTAGGAGGTTCTACGGTATGTGCTATTTCGAAAGGGCACCGAGCTCATAATATAGAGTTCAATCCACCCAAAGGTTGTTTTTTTGTTGTTGATTTTTCTTTTCAATTTTCCTATTGAACACAATGAAATAGCATGAAGAATAGAACGAAAAACAACAGTTCTCTGTGTGCTTTGGCGCGGATTGCGGGTCGGCCCGAGGGACTGCCCTGCCCTACCCACACTCGGCATGATTGAGCCGCCAAGGAGGGGGGAAACTTGATCCCGAGGCGCGTCATGATGGTCATGTCGGAGCAGATGACAGCAATCGCAGGTTAGCCGCGGCGGGCCGTAAAGCTGTATAGCGCCGCGCGGCCCCAGGGGGGAAGGGGGCGGAGAGGCGTGTGAACCCGTCCAGGGGCCGGTAGAGCATGTGGCACTCGAGGAAGGAGGCTGTAACGAAGAGGAGCAGCGGGCCGCTAGAGGAGGCCAGGCGGCCGGCCCAGGCCAGTAGGCAAACCAGGGGTACTACGACAAAAAAAAATCGGTGTGCACACCCTTTAAAAGAGGTAGATTTTAAGACATTCAGAAAAATTACGGAAACATCAAGGGGAATCAGAAAAATCAGTGTATGTTGAAATTTACAATGAAAACCCACAGCAACTGCTCGCTGTTACTGTTACAAAGCGGGGGGGAAGGGCGAAAAAAATTATGGTTGAAGACGTTGTTGCACGTTGCTGTATAATAGCAGCGAGGTTGTCGCACTGCTTTTGCGTGCCGCGTGCGGAGAGCATGTGGCACTCGAGCGAGCGCGCAGGGGAAGAGGACGGTAACGGAGAACATAAAATGCACGAGCAGGAAGAAGGCGGCGCGCGCGGCCGGGCGGCGTGGCCGGCGAGGCGACGCGTGCGCGGCACGCGAGCCGTTATGGCCGCGGCGTTACGCGGAAACTCGCGGTTACCGCAGCTGTTCTCTATGAGCTCTTCGTATACTCGAAGAGGAGGAGGAGGAGGGTGGCTCATGGGGCGTTGCCTGCCGCTGCTGCCACCTCGAGCGTGTCCCGCCGGCCGGCCGCGCGGACCGAAGGGCGCTGGCCCCAGCCCCAGCCCCGCCCCGCCCCGCCCGTGCGGAGATAACGCACGGCAATAATTACGAGTTTATGGTAATGACGGCGGGCTGCTCGCAGTGCCGACGGCGACGCGCACCTCGAGCTCTCGCGTGGACTCAACAAAATTATCAGGTGTTTTTTTCAAAAAACCAATCGTGTACGCAGAAATGCGTACAATCGCATTCCGATGGTAGTTTCCGTCGACCCGTCAAACGTCAAAGAAAAGCACATCATTTAGACATTAGAACAAAATAGCGCTTTAGCGCCGTCAAGAAGCTGGTAGTGCTCTTGAAAGTATACTGTTGGGTATTCTTGAGGAGCCTCTCTCAAACGCCAAGCACAGCGCCACGCCGCTATCCCCGGCCGGTCGGCCCCTCCGAAAGAAAATCAAACGGGCATCGCGCTCGCTCCGCCGCGGCTATTAAATCGCAATAAGTGTCGGGCACCCTCTCATTCATGCTTTCATTCATTCATTCATTCATTTCGAATGTCAGATTGATATCTGAATTCTACTTTTGCCGCCCGCTCGCGCCCTGCTGCTGCTGCTTTTTCAAACACAACAAAAAAGACAAGAAGAGGCCGACATGACGAGATGAATTTCTCATCATCAACGAGATCTCCGCCAACCGAGAGAGCGAGAGAGAGGTCAGGAGAGAGGGGGTGGCAGCGAGCGACAAATAAGCAGCGTGCAGCAGAAGCACAAGGAGTGCGAGCGTGCGTGCGTGCGACAGACAGGCGTCAGACGTTGGCACGCCAGAGTGTAAGTACCGTGTGGAATAACAAATGAATCTTTTTTTTTCAGTCTAAGAACAGTTAGTTATTATGGTATGCTAAGCAAGCATGATGCAAGCAGAATGTGAGGCATAAATAAATTTAGCCGAACAATGAGTCGAGTACCAAGTCGACAAAGTTTGTCATCATCACCCCCTGAAAGGTTGTTTTTTTGGTCAGTGCGGTTATCAATTTCCAAAAGAGGTGCCAATAACACGACAGGAACAGAGAGGTATAGTAAAAAACGTTTGATTGTTGGACAAAGAAGAGTAAAGAAAGTAGAGCAGCTCACCGGACTGATGGCTGTGAATCCGGGAGTGCGACCGTCTCTCCCCGCCTGCGGGTCACACAAACAAGACAAAAGCTGTGGTCAGTCCAACAGGGGGGGG